GAGAGAGTGTGAGAGTGCATTCAAAGGAGGATTCCTACCACTGGTGCATGAAGGCTTCAGTTGGAGTTCAAAGGTAAGAATCTCTACTTGTGAATTGGGATTACTTAACTCTTTTCATTCTTCCTTCTAGATTCTTGTGAGAAGATCTGTCAAGGAGATCCGGTTCTCTGCCGACACTTAGAGAGTGTGAACAGACGAAGGGTTCGATGCCTATACTTGGAGAGTGTGAATAGCCGAAGGGTTCGCTGCCTACACTTGGAGAGTGTGAATAGCTGAAGGATTCGCTGCCTACACTTGGAGAGTGTGAACAGCCGAAGGGTTCTCTGCCCACACTAGGAGAGTGTGAAAGGATGACGGTTCTCTGCCAAAATTAGGGATTTTGTAAAAGGACGACGGTTCTTTGCCGCACCGGGTAGTGATAAAAAGAGTGTTTTGTAAAGGCTTCTCCGCCTTGCTGTGGGTGCAAAAGGAGAGTCACTATTGGTATTAGTGCAATACTCAGAGGGCGCCTCTGGGGAGTGGATGTAGGTTTGGTATAGACCGAACCACTATAAATCTTGTGTCATTTACTTTACTGTTTTTACTTTTCCGTATTTTAAAAAAATTCATTTCGGTTTAACTCATTTTAAAAGAGGGCTTAAAATTTTTAAACTACCAATTCACCCCCCCCCCCTCTTGGTAGCCTTGGGACATTAACTTAGGTTTAACAACCTATTTACTAGACTCAACAACAATAGCAGTCCCCGAGTGAGCAGGGACAGGGACCTTTAGATCCACATGCAGTTGTACCTGCATACTTCCCTGGCCACTTCCCTCCTCCCTCGACGAGTCATCACTACCCCTCTCCAGATCAGACACATGCCTCTCTATTCTATCCATATTATCCTCCACCATCATCACAGGTAGTAGGTCCATCCACTGGTCCTCGCCCTCCTTACCCCTACCCATATTACTATCCCTATCCGGTGCAACATGAACAGGGTGGACCATCTAGACCACCAGAGGTTGGCGCTAGCGATCATACAGCTGCAATAGATAAGTGTTAATAAATTGAGCCTGAGGGCGATAAGTAAGTTCAATTTATGTTATTAAGTTATTTGTATTTTGATATATTACATGTTATTGACAAAAAAAGTAATATGCAGCTTCAATCCTTTAAGGCCACCTATACATATGATCCGGGATATAAGAAATAAATATGATGCTCCTTACTTATCCTGGAAGAAGATCCCAAAGCCGGTTAGAGATATGCGATTTGGAGAATTTCAGGTATACTTTTTTGTTATAATTTCAAATATGTGATTTAATTTGTACTAATCTTTTTGTTATTGTCTAAATTTTTCACAAAGAATTTAGGTGGTTGCCTGAGCATAGCACGAGGATCATAACAAATTTTGAGAGGAGAGGAGCGACCTGTCTTAGGGACATGTTCACGGATATTAGAAAGTCCGGGCAGCGTCCTAATTGGATTGGAGAGGGCGTTTGGGCTGATTTGAGTAGTACTTGGGTGACCCCTGAGTTTATAAAAATGAGAGAGCAGAATAAACAGAACAGAGCCTCTAACTGTGGTGGTTTAGGAAGCTCTCTTCATAATGGTGGATCGGTACCTCATACGGAACATAGCCAGCGACTAGTAAGAGTTTTAAATTAGTTTATTAAATATATTTATGTTATTATAACTATATCTTAAATTTTTAGAAAGAGTACCTTGGTCGGGAGCCAACACCACTGGAGTTGCATACAAGAACTCATCAATATCAAGCTGATCATCAGTGGGTTGATGAAAAGGCTAAGAAGGCTCATGTGAGTAACCTTTTTAGAAAATTTGGAATAAAAATTTATTTTAATAAAACTAATTGTAATATCAATTTACAATTTATTTTATGGCTTTATTCTCGCAGGATGATTTTGTACGAGCTCGAGAAAGCCGCCATTCCACTAGCGAGGGATCATCTTTAAGATCAGCCCACACTTCTAAGTATCATACTTGGTCTGATGTTGTTGGTGTAAGACAGAAGGGGAGGATATATGGCTTGGGTTCACAGGGCTATGCTTATGAGGGCAGTTCATCCACCTCAACATTTTATGATCCAAGTACTGGAGCTGAAGAAACTGTGAGTCAGAGGGTTGCAGCATTGACTAGAGAGATTGAAGAAATGAGAAGGGTTCAAAATGAAATGCAAGCAGAGCTGCAATCCTACAGAGTTGAAAATCAGAGGAAGCAAGAGGAAGAGCAGTGACGAACTTCTCGAGACAGCGAGGATACAGCTGAGGAGTAGAACTTTCTTATATTTATTGTGACTTTGTGAATTTGTGAAATTCTGAACTTGTGAACTTATGTTTTATGGTTGAACATATTAATTTTGTTTACATTTAATATTTTGTTTGGTTGTACTTATGTATATAGTTGTGATAGTTGATTGAATATAGCGGTGTGTTGCCCAAATCTTGTTATATATTATTTTCTGTGCATGTTTAGAATTTAGGGTGAACCTCCCCCATATAAAGGGGAGGCTGTCAATTTTTTTTCAGGTGCTACAGGTTTCCGGCGGCCTACCGGAGGTTTGGCCGCTAGAAATGATGATACCAAACGGCTGATTGAAGCCGCCGGTAACTTCGTTAAACCGCCGGTATTATACCGGTGGTTGACGATGGCACCCGGCGGTTATCCGGTGAAAGCCCGGCGGTCTAGACCGCCAGTACGACCGTTGGCAAAGACCACTGGGAACCGCTGGTGTCGTACCGACGATTTACCGACGCATGCCGGCGGTTAATCTAACGTACGCCGGCCGCTGTAACCGCCGGCAAGCCATCGTTGAAGGACTGCCGGTACGCCGTCGGTTACCTGACCGGCGGCACAACGGACAAAACACCGCCGGTATAAAGCCGGGTAATAACCGGCGGTATAAGCCGCTGGAAAACCGTCGGCTAATTAAGCCGCCGGTAAAAACCGCCAGCAAATTGTTTCCTACGCCATTTTTTCCAGCGGTTTGATAACCGCCGCAAAGCCGCCGCTTTTTTCGAAAACCGCCGGTATTACCACCCAAACCGCCGGAAAAACTGCCGGTTCTGGGTGATTTTCCTGTAATGGTTCACGTACTCTATTATCTCCTAATCTAACATGGCATAGTAAGGATTTGACAAACCGGAGGCAATAATTGATGGATGAATATTTTGAGGGGCTAGGGGACCTTAAGCTAGCAACCTGATGCAACACTTACCCCAATCCTATGTGAGTTCTATGCCAATGTATAGGACCATGTGGTTAACCATAAATTTATTCAAGGAAAGCATATGTTATTTATTAGATCAAATATAAATGCATTCTATAAGAAAGTTCAAGAGGAAAGCCCTTATGGATTATACATTATTCTTATAATAGAAGTCGAGTTTATAATAGAATTAGTGAAAGTACTAATAATTTTTATTATGATATAAATCTACCAAACTATTTTTCAATATAATGGATCTTCTAAATATTATAATATTATTTATCCCTTTAAATAAATAATTTTTTTTCATATGTTATGTTTAGGCTTACTTCCTCTTACATTATATTTACACATATAGACATATTTTTCAAATCTCTTTCATTCGATATCATTGCATAAATATTTCGGATTTTTTTATTTATTAAATTTCACACTAAATTATTTCATATATTTTCATTATAACTTTTAATCCTTAAGAATAATAAGGAATAAAATTAATATAAAAAAGCAAAAATATCCAATTGAACTCATCTTCACCTTAAAACTAAATTTTTTTTCAAATATCACATTTTTATCATAAAGTGATATATCATACTTTTCATTGAGATAGTAATGATAGATATACATTATTTTTATCTTACTTAACATATAATGGATGATATATATCACATTCTTCAAGACATCACTAGAAAAGACTGTCAAAAAATACCAAAATTAAAGGCATAAAAATAATTATTTTGGCATTCTCAATTGGGAGGAAAGATTATTATGCCATGCCGAACAAATAAAATGAAAATAAAAAATATTAATGATTTTTTGTTAAGTCTATTATTTTAATTAATTAATTTTTTTTCCCTTTCAACACCAGAAACAATAAAAATATAAACAATTCTTAAAATAGAGAAAATATTTATATGATATTATCTCATATACTAAAAAAATACTACTTATAAAATTAGTTTTCAATTTAATTTTTTATATGCATTATAAAACCAACAAAATAGAATAGCTAAACATCAATCTTCTATTGATCAAAATATTATATTTCATGAGTTAGTCATCTATGTTAGAAATAATTCAATAATATATATTTATAAATATATTATAATAAATTTTATATTTTTTAAAATTTATTTTATTCCACTAAAAAAAATCTATTTAAAAACTTTTAGAAAGACAGCAGCATTAATATTCAAATGATTGTTTTAATTTTAAATACATTTTAAAGAAATATTTTATAAAAGTAAAATTTTTATGATTCTACCTCTACAATAATTTTAATCATTATTATAATTAAAAATGAAAAAATAAACATAAAATAAATTTAAAATTTAATAAAATATTTTAAATTTTTAACTTTTAATCACATGCACTTAATACACACCACAATATTTTTCTTCATCCAATGTGCGTAAATTAAGATTATTGAAAATAAATAATTAACGTACCTCGTATTGGTCTGTGGGTTGAGAGCTTTGGCTATCATCAGAAAATTTTAGTTTGAGTCTCGCATATGTAATATGGGTTTGTATTTGCCTTAATTAGTCTAAATATTAAAAAATGAAAATGAATAATTTAAAAATATTTCTTAATTAGGGCATCCAGCTCACTCCTCACGACTCGTGGGTTTCAAAGTCCAAACATTCCATGACATAATTGGTGGCTTAGATCATCCACACTGGGTAGATATGAAGTGGACGGTCAAGATTTACTAAATTCGTAAGGCCGAAATGGCACAGTTGTAATTGTAGTTGCTAAAAAAGGATCAGCTCTGTCATCTTTAGACTAGTTTACTAATGCCATTTTTTGTTTTCGTCTCGAATCCTTGTGCGACTTCCTCCGTCACACCATAATCTCGCTTCTCCTCTCCCTCGTCTTTTTCTATCTTCCTTGTTCCATTCTTCGAGCTCACGATTTGGCGGGAAGCAGCTTGTTTAAGGCGGGAGAGATGTCTGGCAAAGGAGCGAAAGGCTTGATCATGGGCAAGTCCTCGGCCCTCAAAGACAAAGATAAGAAGAAACCGGTGTCCCGCTCTTCCCGAGCTGGTCTTCAGGTCTGATCTCTGACATGTCAATTTTGGAGCGTTTTTGTTCATCTAAATCTTCCATGAATAGTTGTGCTCTCTCCAGGGTTTTGCTTTTATCTGTGACTGTTCGTGAGCTCTTATGTCATAATGTTGTTGATCCGGGGATTTTTAACCCTGGAAGAGTTTTTTGGTTAGTAAATCCAACTATGCGTTAAATGGGCGGAGGTTGTGGCTTGATTTTGTGAATGAGATGGATGTCCGATCCCTTCTGAGTATTTGGTGTACTAAAAAAAAAGAATTATTTTTTAAATCTGAAAAACTCAGGGAAATTATCGATTACTGCCCATCAGATTTAGTCGCTGAAGTATAGGATAGTGTTGGAAGAGAATTGCTTGTCTTTGTTGATATTGACCATGAAATTGCATTCTTCTCAGGATCCTGCATGGATGGACTATAAACACCTACCAATTGTTTAACTATTTCCATTTGGTACTGTTATAAGTGTGGTTTATGTAGTTGATTTTGTAAAAAATATTAAAAATTAATGTTTTGCTGTAACTTATCATAATATAGTTTGACTTGTCCTTGATTCTAAGAATGCTGCGACGTCTTTTTGGCTTAGGACAATTGTTTACAGCAATAATTCATGAAACCGAAACATTTGTTTTATTGTGGTTGTTGACCTTGTCAAGTCGGACTATTTCCGAAAATTACATATTATTGCGGTTACTTGGATATTTATATGACCAGTGTCTAGCAGTTGACATTAAGTTTTTGTACCTAAGAAATGACATTATATGGGAAGATGGGAAATTATATTAAAGAAAACTTTTTTAGTTATAGACTAGTAGCATCGAGCTCAAATCTGATGATTTGTGCAATAAGAACAAAACTGAGCACATATAAGGACCTTCAGGGGACTTGACAGCTCACCAAAGAGCATGAATTGGACCTTTCAATGAGCACTTGGACTGTGAGACATTTTGTATTGAAAGAATTGAGAAGAATCTCAATAGAAGAAGAACAAGGATTTACTAGGGATTAGTAGCCCTCTTACGAGAATGAACAATGCCTCTCACTATTTTCTAGAACACTCAAAATTATGAACTGTAGCCATATCCAAAAATGGTAAGTGAGAGAAATGATCACAAACACCCCGATGATGGCCGTGTTGAATGTTTATCTCAACCAGAGGGGTTCATAAACATTTCCAAATGTCTCCCAAACATCCAAATGCCCATCAAAATCCAAAACTGCACAATGTTCAAAAATCCAAATAAAATCTCAAAATAAAAAAAAGTATTTAAAATTGAAATAAACTATCAAACACTTAAAGCAAAATTCACCCACCCTCCACAATAGTTTGTCGAGGTGGATAAATTAAAGTTTACTTTAGCTCACAAAGAGCCAAATGCCTAGTCGAAAATATCACTAGGATCCATTCTCAAACAATCTCTTGCCAGTAAGGACGTGGTACGTGTCCTCTAACCGGCAATTTCGCCACCAAATGGCACTGCAGGTAAACGGTTATGACCCGGGGCCCTCTGAATCGAGTGGTTTTGCCGCCAAATGGCACCACAGATAGCGGTTATGGCCAGAGCTAATATGCTCCTTAATGGTGTTAAATCCTTGAGATATGAATCAATAGGATATGATCGATAGGGTACAAACCCCTTTGTTAGCTAAGGTGGATTTAAATTTGTCCCCTTAGACAAACATCCAACCCCGGTCTACAAGGTCTCCTTGGACGAATAAACCCATGGCTGCCGACAAGGATCCTTCTGTCAGGTTGGGTCGATTACCTCCTCTAACAAAGTAGACCAGGGACCACTGGCACGGGATGACGGAACCATGGGATCTTGATCGGGTCCATCATCCATTCCCCCACCATCCGCTTTAAGTGTAAGATGGTGAAATTTCAAATTTTAAGTATCAAACCCTCCAAATTTCCCAATATCCAAACCTTTCAAATTCCAAACTTCCAATCATCAATACCAATACTCATTGCTGCTACTATATGCGAGATAACACGTATTCTCTACGTATCTGATTAACGACTAGCCTTAATCAAAAGTTCTCTCTCGTGATCGAGAGGGGTAATTTACTATAGGGGCTTGCGCCTATAGGAAACCAGAACTCAGATCATAAAGTCCTCACAAAATGGGGGCGAAATCTCTGGGTAGTGTCTTATTTACAAACCCATCTGCCTTCCAAAATTTACCTCAGAACTTATTCAGTTAAAACTCCCTCGTCGAATAAAAAGAAAAGCGGGCAGAGGCCGGGGCCGAATTTCGGAGCCCACATCATTACAATGTTACTAATTTCTTGGTTAAAGCAATGTTTAAAATCGCGTAATTAGGTATTGAGGCATTTTTCGTTCGTGAGGCGAGGCGTAAGCCTCAAGGCCTTTTGAGGCGGAAGCCTCAGAATCAAAAAATAGCATAAACATAAAATGATAAATTTTGTATATACTAATGAGTAAATAATATATTAAACATAATAATGCACAAGATATGAAGTGAAATCAAAATATCCCAATAATAAGACAACATGAATAAAACAATAAACCGGTCTGCCGGTGGTCCAAGGGGGTGCTGCCCCCTAGCAGGGTTAGACCTGAGCATGGAACAAATTTTGAAGTTCCGCTTGTTTTTACACACACACACACACACACACATGCTTGGTACCGAGGAAATTGCTGTGACCTGGGGTTGCACGAAGTGTGATTTGTTCGGGGCTTTATGATTTTTGTAAGTTTATATACATATATATATAAGGCATAAGCCTCACGCTAGCGAGGCGAGGCGAGCCTCAAGGCGGGCCTCAACAAGGTTTAAAAAAAATTTGAGGCGTAAGTCTCGAGGCATTTTCCACTGGAATTGTGCAAAGTCGAGCTTCATATTGCGCAATTTTAAACAATGGTTTAAAGTACTTGCAATGGGACAATTTTTTTTCTTACTTTAAGAGGCCAACCACATATCATTAGATCCATTAAATGATGAATATTGCTCAGCAACATAAAAAACATGATCACTATATGCCACATCAAACTCAATGATATGCTTGGATGCCAAAATTTTAATCCAAACTAACTCTGCTTACAGGTATATGATAATTTCTAGTTATTCTCTATGTTTCATTTCTAACATACTTGAATTGTTTCTTAGCCTAATATCTTCATCTAAACATGCCCTTCATTTTTCTCGAACACTTAATCCCATAAACTCGCCCTGTACACATTCACTATTTTCCTTTCCATCTTTTTACTCATTACCATATTTTAAATATTATTCAAATATTATGTTTTCCTTGCGAACTATGGTCACCAAACATTCTTGATGGGGACATCGATACGAGGTTTCGATGCGTCTATCAGAGGCGACACAGGAGACTGATGGCCATGATGGAGAGTCTTTACTTTTGATGCATTTTATGTATTAGTCTTTTTTTATTTTTCAATTTTCCGTTTTTGCCCTTATGGGTAGTTGGTCAATATAGTAGCCCAAGGGGCATTCTTGTCTTTTGATTTATTTGTCATTGTGAGGCCTATATATATGGCCACTCTTATGTATTGAATGATGAATTATTGAATGAAAATTTTATCTTGTTTTTTCTTCTTGCATGAGAGCTAGAGAAGGGAGAGAGCTCAAAGTGAGCAAGTGCAAGGCCCACCAGTCGTTGGAAGAGTCCTCGACTCGTGGTTTTCTCATTTATTGTCGTCTTCTCCACCTCTTCCCTCGCTCCCACCCGCTGGCCTCCATAACCCCACCACCGTCCAAGCCCACCACAAAACTCACCACATAATCCCCCTTCCCCAAGCCCACCGTCCACTAGCTCCACCA